AGGCAAGCTGAGGGACGCCAGGGCCGGGGGCGGGGACTCAGGAGCGAGGTTGTGCAGGCAGCTGTGGGGCGGGGCTGGGGCTGAGAAGCTGTCCCCGGCGCTCCCAGAGGCACAGACACGCACACGGAGTCACACACAGGCAACGGCCACAGATATGTGTACGTGATCCCTCCTGCACGTACATAACACAGTAGACACACAGACACACACTCATGCACACACGCACACACCCCAAGTCACGCATCCTCAGCAGCCACTGACAAGTGCGACAGCATCGCTCAGGCTGCACGGACACGCGCGCGCCCCGGCTCCCCCGCTCTGGCCACCGCCCGCCCGCCCGGCCCTGCCGCCTCCGTCCTTGGCCCGGGCTGCCCTAATCCCAGGCTCGTGTCTTGGAGCCAAGAGATAAGAGGCAGCTGCAGCCGCAGATAAAGAAGTCCCAGCCACAAATCCGGGGCGGCTGCAGCAGTGGCGGGCACAGAGCCCGGGCTGCACCTGCCCCGCCACCACCACGGCCACCCCCATCCGGCAGGAGAGAGACGTGCAGGGGGAGAGGGACTGGGGGGGGCTGGGGGGAGAGAGAGAGGCAGAGAGACAGAGACAGAGGGAGAGAAAGAGAGATACGAGACACATACAGAGGGAAGAAAATACAGAAGGACAAAAATTTTTTTGAGACAGAAACAGGAAGAATAAAAAAGCAACAGGCAGAGAGAAAGAGCCAGCTAGGGCCTGAACAGAAAGCCAGAAGCTCCGTCCTCAGGTCCTGCCCTACCCCCACCTGGGTGCCTCAGTTTCCCCACCTGTTCAGGGGCTCCAGGGCCACCTGCCTCACTCCTGTTTCTTTAGGGTCAATCGAAGTCAGGCATTGGGGGCAATCATCCTCAATGTCCCCACATACTCCAGAGTGACACTAATGGCTGACCCAGGGCTCTTGGGCAGCCTTCTGCCCCCTACCATGGCCTCAGTGAAAGTGGGATCCCTCTAGGGCAGGTTCTGCCCCTCTGTGCCTCAGTTTCCCCAGCCATAAGATGAATCCACTTGGCAAGCTTTCATGGAGCACCTACTGTGTGCCAGGTCCAGTGCTGGCACTGGGGGCACAGAGTGACCAAGGAAGACCTGATTCCCTCCCTCTCCGGGCTCCAAGTCCAGTGAGGAAGACAGATATGTGACCAGACAGCTACTTGATGACCAGGGCCATGATGCGGGAACACTCAGGCAGAGCCCAGGGGACACTGGACCCACCCTGAGTGAGGGGCTGTCAGGGAGGCTTCCAGAGGAGAAAGAGATCATCCGGAAGGGTGGGTGGGATAAGCCAGTTGGCTGGGAGCAGGGAACAGTGTTCTTGGAAGAGGGAACAGCATGAGCAAAGGCTGGGAGGTAAGACTCGTTCATGGAAGGTCTGAGATGAACTTAGTGCTCGCGTTTAGGGATGGAGGGGGTGACGGAGGCTGAAGGTGGGGAAGGCCGCAGGGGCTGAGTCCTGCTGGAACTTGGCGGTGGTGCAGGGCTGGGGCAACAGGGAGCCATGGAAGGTTTGGGGGCGGGGAGGGCTGTGGTCAGATTCATGTTTTAGAAAGAGCTGTGGGAGGCTGCGCTGTTGGGGACAGAATGGGAGATTGAGGTCTGGAGGCGGGGAGTGATGAGAAGGGAGAGGAGGGGATGGGCTGGAGAGAGACGCTCGAGGGGACGAGGGCAGGACATGGGGACCAACAGGTTGAAGGGGGAGACAGAGAGGCGGGAAGGGAGGCTGATGCCCTCCCTGTTTCTGGCTTGGGACGAGGGGGCAGCCCCTGGGTCAGGGACCTGGATTGGGCTGAGGCCAGGGTGGTTCCCATGGGTGTGGGGGCCTGGGGGGAGGCAGCCGGCAGGTATCTGGGGCCATGAGGTGGAAGCCTTTGAGCTCATGGGGGCAGCATAGAGTCTCCCTGGAGTCTGGGTGTCTGGGGCTACCGGGGCTAGCAAGGTGAGTGAGGGTCAGGGGAGTCCCTGCGGCCCATGGATTCAGGTGGAGCTGGGACGAATGCTTGCCCCCTCCACGCAAGGTCAGAGAGAGGAAGAAATGAACGAACCCACGAAAAGTGCTTTGAATGGGCCTCGGTACACAGTAAGCACCTGATAACCATTTAACTACTGGTAAATGATAACACCATTATAATACTAGAATAATAAGTGATTAGTGTATAATGGGAAACAGTTAATGTCTCATTAATATTAATACTATGGTTATCAACAGCCAGCGCACGGCCCCCCACCTACGGGAAGCCTTCCTGGATTGCCTTACACCAAGGGGGCGGGGTCATCACAGGGCAGAGCCAGGCAGCCCTGGGAGATCTCTCCTTGGAAGCCAATGCCCAGAGAGGAGAGGACACATTTCTGAGGTTGCCCTCTGTGAGCCTCAGTTTCCCCCACTTGTCCAGTTGTCTCCTCAGAGCGGACTGGGGTATTTGTGAGAAGATGTGGGAGACAAGTGATAGAACCTCAGGGGGGGACACGCACCCCGGGAAAGAGGAGTGAACTCCCATCCCTGGAGGTGGGCAAGCAGGGCTGGGCAAGTCTCACTCAGACTGTGGCCGCTGTTTCTTCCGGTTTGAGATTCCCAGATTCTACTGTTTTATTCCCAGATTGTCCTACAGAGGGCGGCCGAGGCCAGAGACGGAAGACAAACCTTCCCACACCCCCTCCACTTTCTCCTAGGTCCCGGAAGTGATGATTTGGAGAATGTGGTGGCCTAGGGCAAATCTTTTTACTCTTTGGGCCTCAGTTTCCCCATCTGTTATATGAGGATCACAGTGTCTGCCTCTTCTTCCCTCCCCAGGAAAAGCTTTTCAAGTTCAGAGTAAAATACAAGGGTAGCCAAGGGGTTGGGTGTTCCCACCGAGCACTGTGTTTCGTAATTCAGGGCAAATAATAATAAAGTGATAACAACAGCAGTGGTTCAGAAGTTAATATTTATTGATTGTTGCATGTTGAACCCTTACCTTCTAAAGAAGACACTTTTATCAGCCACATTATATTGATGAGGAGACTGAGGCAGAGAGAGGCTCAAACGAGATGTCCAACGTTTCTAGTTGGTAGGTGGAGGAGCCGGGATTCGAACCTGGCTGAGTCTAGAGCTCTGTTCCCGAAGCGCATGCAGCCTTCTCCAGGCTACAACAGGGCATGATGGGGACTATGGCAAAAGGTAGGTAGATCCTGCCTTCCTCTGCCCACAGTCCTCCACGTTCCCACCTCGCTCGGGGTGAATGCCAAAGTCGTTCTCAAAGCTCACAAGGCCTTGCACGACATTCCCCGCACCTCCCTACCCTCATCTCCTCCTCCTCTTCTCTGCTCCAGCCACAGGGGTCTCCCTAACATGTCGGGACTTTTCCTCCTGCCTCAGGACCTTTGCACTGGCTGTTCCCTCCATCTTGTATACTTTTCTCTTCCATATATCCCCGAGTCTCTCCCTCACTTCTTCCAAATATACCCCCAAATCACCATTTCTGTGAAACCTTCCCTGACCATCCTATTAAAAATTGCAACCGCCGTAAGTGGCATTCCCAATTCCCGTTCCCTGCTTCATTACCGTCTAAGTACGGTGGAGTTTACTTATGATGTTTTTGGTCTGTGTTCCCACCCCTATGTCAGCTCTTCAGAGCAGGGATTTTTGTCTATTTTGTTTTGTTTTCTATCCTATCTAGCCCAGCATCTGGCCAGGCGCTCAACTAATTACTTGCTGATCGAATGCCCCGCATAAAAGTTAGTAGAATTAACATTTTTTGCAAACCCTAGCATAAAAACAAAAGACTTGCCAGGGCCGATCGTGGCCCGCGGGGAGCCTGTTCGCGAGCCGTCCAGGATCCCGCTCACGAGGGACCAGAGGCCCCGCCCATTTGCAGGCTCCGCCCCGTGACGTCGACGCGCGCATGATGGCGTCCTTGGAGCGACTCGGGCATGCGCACTGCCCTAGCACCACCCAGGAAGACATACGCGCGACCCGGAAGGCCTTTCCGCCACACTCCAGAGCAGGCGTGAGGAGCGCCGATGGCGGAGGGACTGGCGGAGGCCCCAGTAGAGAGTGGCGGTGGCGGTGACTCGGAACGTGGGGTGGCGCCCATTAAACCTCAGTGAGTCGCCGGGGTAGCAAGAAACCTCATGGGGCCTTCCCGGCATCCGTAGCGTGGCCAGAGCGGTGCATGCCGGGAGATGGGCTACGGTCCAGGATGAGACGCTCGCCGGCTCTTCAGTCCGGGCCGGTTTTCCGTCCGCTGTGGGGGCGTCCCCGGTGGTACCTGAGATCGTGCACATTGGAAGCTGTCACATGCGAGAAGGACGCCACGTGCATGCTGGGGCAGGCGGGGTTTGAGGCGAGGCCCGCGATGCATACTGGGGACTGTAGTCCCTGCGTGTGGCGGGAACGGCGCATGCGCACCTCTAGATGCAGTTACGGGTTGGGACTTGAGCGGGCACCGCGGAGCAGTGTTTTAGGGGTCGAAAGGTATTGTGGGAAATGTGGCGGCTGTGGACCCCGCTGCAAGGCATTCTGGGACTTGTAGCTGCTTCTCGCACAACGTGGTCAGGGATGCTTATGCCTGATAACCTATAGTTTAGCGCAACACTCTGAGCATCGGGGATCCAAGGACAAAATAGGTCCTTTCTGTGGCCTTGTGGTGCTGCCGGGCTGGGAGCTGGCCGGTTCTAAGTAGTGAGACCTCGTCAGCAGAGGCATTTAAGCAGCAGCAAGTGTTCTCAGTCTCCTTACCCCAGCGTTTACTGAGGCTGAGCTCAGAGGAGGGATCCCCTGGAAAAGCCCTCCTTTCTTCTCCCTCTCTGCTGGCAGATACCGCACTACCAAAGAGCAGTTTCACGAATTCCTGGAAGCCAAAGGGCAGGAGAAGCCTTGCCGGGAAACCGAGGCAGAAGACCCTGTTGGCAATGACCTGGCTGAGCCTGAGGCCAAGCGGGTCCGACTGGAGGATGGGCAGCGGGAGGACCGACAGACGGAGAATGCAGCTGAGCACGGAGAGCAGCCACAGGCTCAGAAGAGGGCTCGGGGCCAGAACAAGAGCCGGCCCCATATGAAGCCCTTGCACTACGACAAGAACAGGCTCTGCCCCTCTCTGATCCAGGTGAGCGTGGCCACATGAGGGTTGCTACTGGGGCAGGCAGGAGCTGGTTCTGTTTTTTGGCATTTGGTAAATGCCATTAGAAAGTCCCAGGGGCCTTCAGTCTGAGCTTCTCTGCTCCCATTCCATCCTCATCATCCTCCTGATGTTATGACGTGCTATTGTTTTCATTTTATAGATGAAGCAACTGAAGCACAGTGAGGTTACCGACTTGCCCCAGGACACCAGCCAGGAGGGGGGATTTGGGATTCAAGCCCAGACTGCCTGGCAGCCCCAGCATCCCCCTGTCGTCCCTTGTTCCCCTGTAGGAGTCGACTGCTAAGTGTTTCTTTGGTGACCGCTGCCGCTTCCTGCATGATGTGGGCCGCTATCTGGAGACCAAGCCAGCTGACCTGGGCCCCCGCTGTGTGCTATTCGAGACCTTCGGCAGGTGTCCCTATGGGGTGACCTGCCGCTTTGCCGGGGCCCATTTGGGACCTGAGGGCCAGAACCTGGTGCAGGAGGAGTTGGCAGCCCGCTGGGCCCACCCCCTGCCCGTCCGCAATGGCCTGGATAAGTCACTGCAGCAGCAGCTGCGGAAACGCAAGATCCGCTTCGAGCGAGCCGAGCAGGCCCTGTGCCAGCTAAGCAAGGATCAGCCGCCAGGCCCCACACCTGTTGCTGCTGTCCCCAAGGTCCCAGTGGCTGAGGGTGCTCCAGGGCAGAACGACTGTGATGCCCAGCAGGACCCTGCGGGGCCGGGTGCTGACACCCCTCCCAGCAGTCCTGGGCGGACCTGCGGGCCCCTGACTGACGAGGACATAGTCAGGCTGCGGCCCTGTGAGAAGAAGAAGGTACATGTTGAAGACAGTGCTAGTAGTGGACCTGTGCCTCCAGCAGCTGGTCACCAGCCACGTCCACGTTCCTGGTTTAGACACCTGGGGATCAGAATCTGTGCTCTTGGGGAGCTCCCAGCTGAGACTCCCTCCTTGTGCTCTGCTCTGGTCCCAGCCCTCAAAGAGCCCCATCTGGGGAACAGAAATAGCTGGACACATATTCTCAGTCCCAGAATGTCAGGGCAGGGGCAGAGGAGGACGGTGTGGAAGGCTTCCTGGAAGAGGGGGCATTGGAAATAGGGTTTTGATGGTTGAATAGAAGTTTTTCAATGGGAGGAAGTAGGAAAAGAACATTCCTTGTAAAGGGATTGGTTGGTGTGTGCAGAGGTCCAGGGGTGAAAAGGCCGCAGCCCAGTCGGGGCAGGGCAGAGCATGTTCTAGACTGCGGGGACAGGGAGGCCCAAGAGGCCTCGGAAGCTGGCTGGGGGATCGAGCCTCACTTACGTGTTTTCTTTCCCTCCAGCTGGACATCGGTGGCAAACTGTACCTGGCGCCCCTCACCACGGTAGGCCCTGGCAGAGGTGGCGGCATGGTCTCTCCCCCTGTGCCCGCTGCTTTCCCTCCAGCTGGACATCGGTGGCAAACTGTACCTGGCGCCCCTCACCACGGTAGGCCCAGGCAGAGGTGGCGGCATGGTCTCTCCCCCTGTGCCCGCTATCTGTTTCCACCGGCTGAGACTCAGGGCTGGGGCGTGTGTCTGGGGTCCCTGCCCACCATACCCTCACATGTGTGTTTGTGCCCTGCCACCCCTAGTGCGGGAACCTGCCCTTCCGGCGGATCTGTAAGCGCTTCGGGGCGGATGTGACATGCGGGGAGATGGCCGTCTGCACCAACCTGCTGCAGGGCCAGATGTCCGAGTGGGCTCTGCTCAAACGCCACCAATGTGAGGACATCTTCGGCGTCCAGGTCAGTGCCTACCCCGAGGATCCCTCGGTTGCCTTGTTTAGGAACCAGGATCTGGGTCTGTCTTGGTCACTTCCCCAACTGTTCTAGTCTCAGCCATGGGGCAGGGATGATGGCCTGATCTACCTCTCAGAGCTGATGGTGTCCTTGGCGGGGGATGGGGCCTCATAGATGGACGTCAGTTCCGTCCAGGGAGGTGCAGGAGGGAGGCTCAAGGACCCCCAGTAGGCAATCAGTAGCCCAGCAGGGATGGTGTGGACCAGCCCTGTCCTCACCACAGCTGGAAGGCGCCTTCCCCGACACCATGACCAAGTGCGCCGAGCTACTGAGTCGTACCATCGAGGTGGACTTCGTGGACATCAATGTCGGCTGCCCTATCGACCTCGTGTACAGAAAGGTAGTGGACATCCGCCCTGGGCTCCAGCCCCACTCCCACCTGTGGCAGGCTCGTGCCTCGGTTTCCCACCTGGACAGTGAGGGTGCTGAGCCAGCCGGCGATGTGGGCGGTAGGGGTTCGGGCACCTGTGTGTCCCCGGAGCATTTGCATTTCCTCTGGGTCGCTGTCTCCTGGTGGGGACCTTGGCTGCAGAGCAGGGGGCCCAGCCCGAGTGCCACCTCGCTCTAGGTGCTTGTCTCTCTCAGGGTGGGGGCTGTGCCCTCATGAATCGCACCACCAAGTTCCAGCAGATCGTCCGTGGCATGAGCCAGGTACGCCCAGCAACATCCCTACATTCTGCCCAACCTGACCCTGGGCCCTGCTGACCACCCCTCCCACTGTCCCCACAGGTGCTGGACGTGCCGCTGACTGTAAAGATCCGGACAGGTGTCCAGGAGCGTGTGAACCTGGCACACCGCCTGCTGCCTGGGCTGCGGGACTGGGGCGCGGCCCTTGTCACGGTGGGTCTTGGGGCACTGCGGGCATCGGGGCCTTGGGGGCGCCCCAGCGTCCCTTGCTAACAGCCTGTCTCTTCCCGTTCCTCCCTCTTCACCTCTGCCCCTCTCTCCATCTCTGTGTCATCTGCCTCTGGGTCTCTCTCCGGCCCTCTCTCAGCCTGTCTCTCTCGGTCCTTTTCTCTCTGCATCTCAATCTCTGCGTCCCTCTCTGGGTGGCGGCTTCTCCCCCAGCTCCACGGCCGCTCGCGGGAGCAGCGCTACACCAAGCTGGCCGACTGGCAGTACATCAAGCAGTGCGTGAAGGCTGCCAGCCCCATGCCCCTGTTCGGTGGGTGCCCTGCGAAGCCACCACCCCGTCCTCCTGCTGCCCCAGGCCACTCTCATGACCTGGCCCACCCCTACTTGGAATCCCCTGCCCTGATGGGGGCTACTGGGTTGGCAAAAACTCACAAAGAGCTGGAGGCTCCCTGAGACCCCAGCCTTTGTCCTCTCAGGAAACGGGGACATCTTGTCATACGAAGATGCCAACCTGGCCATGCAGACTGGTGTCGCCGGGATCATGATTGCCCGGTAAGTGCCCGATGGGGTGATAAGGCACAGCTGGAGCCACCCTTGATCACCCCACCTGAAGTGGGGGACAGCGAGGCCTGTTCTACCTGTGACCTCAGCAGCAGGGTCCCCGAGCCCCACACACGTGCTCACCCACCCTGTTCTGTGTTGTGTGCTTTGTGCCAGGCGGGTGGCTCTGCAGGGATGCAGAGAGGCAGACGGAGATGTCAGGGGTTGCATCTGGGACAGGGGTGCTGGAGGGGGGATGGAAATCTCCAGAGCTGCAGGCTGAGGGCTCTGATGGTCATGGGTTGAAGATCTCGGGCTTTTGGGCCGGCTGTGAGCTCAGCTGGTTAGTGTGGAATTATAACACCAAAGTCAAGGGTTTGGATCCTTGGACCGGCCAGCTGCAAGAAAAAAAAACATCCTGAGCTTTGAATGGGCAGCCACAGCTTGGAGGCTCAGACCTGTAGGTTTTGGGGTCTGGGCTCCGGCTGGGAAAGTGGAGGTCGCTCAGTCCCATGGCTGGCCCACCGACCCGGCCCGCCCCGCAGTGGCGCCCTGCTGAAGCCGTGGCTGTTCACGGAGATCAAGGAGCAGCGGCACTGGGACATCTCATCATCCGAGCGCCTGGACATCCTGCAGGACTTCACCAACTACGGCCTGGAGCACTGGGGCTCCGACACTCAGGGCGTGGAGAAGACGCGGCGCTTCCTGCTCGAGTGGCTCTCTTTCCTGTGCAGGTGGGTGCCGGGGTCATCGAGGTGGCCAGTGCGTGGTCCGGAGCTGGCCAGAGAGGGCTCAACGCTGTCCCCGCAGGTACGTGCCTGTGGGCCTCCTGGAGCGGCTGCCACAGAGGATCAACGAGCGGCCACCCTACTACCTGGGCCGTGACTACCTGGAGACGCTGATGGCCAGCCCGAAGGCCACGGACTGGATCCGCATCAGGTTCCTGCGCAGGCCGGGGGTGGGGGGCCTGCAGAGCAGGAGTGGCCCAGGCCCCAGGCCTGACCCCTGCCCGTCCTCCCCACAGTGAGATGCTCCTCGGACCCGTGCCGTCCAACTTCATCTTCCTGCCCAAGCACAAGGCCAACGCGTACAAGTAGCTTCAGGGACCAGGGCGGGGCCGCCTTCCCAGGGCCCCCCAGTGCATGGAGAACACAATAAATTTTATTCTTTTAAAATCCAGGACTTTCTGTAACCTTGAGGCTACCCCTTCCTGTTCCCTTCCTGGAGCTCATCCTCGACTTTTCCCCGGCCTCAGCAACTCCCTGCCTGTTTGCTCATTCATTCACCAAACCTTCCGGCCACCCGTGGCTCCAGCCCTGGACTGTGTACTGCTCTTGCCCAGGGAGGCCTTGACCATGAAGAAGCCACTGAGATGCAATCCAGCCCTGGACTGTGTACTGCTCTTGCCCAGGGAGGCCTTGACCATGAAGAAGCCACTGAGATGCAAGAGGGGTGGGGGCTGAGCATTTGTGGGTGTGATCCGGGCAGCCTGCCTGGAGGAGGGGGTCTTGAAGCTGTTGGGCAAGTGTTGCTGGAAGAGGCAAAAGGCGGGGGACCTGGCCCAGTGTCTGCCCACCCTTGGTGATGCCCGTCTCTGGCTGCCTCCTGCCTACCTCCCACCCCGGAATCCTGGCCAGTGGGCAGGCCGCAGCCTGGAACCCGCTGCCCGGGGTAACCTTGCAAACAGAACCCCGGGGACTCTGAGCCTGTTGTCCGGTGGGCCGCCTGTGCTCCCACCTGCTGCCCTCCTGACCTGCCCCAGCCGGCCCCTCAGCTTCCCCATGCAGCACCCCAAGCCCTTCTATGCACCTGCAGCTCCCCAAGAAGGCTTCAGCCCCCAAGGTCTGGAGGGTGCCGGCGGCCCTGGCAACCAGCCTGCGCCCCCCTGCGCTGAGCCTCTCCCCACTGTGGGTATGCGTTGGGGGCAGGGTGGGGCCCAGGGCTCCTGCCCAGCAGCCTCAGGGCTACACCCACTGGGCACCTTTGTCCACAGGCTCCTCAAACCTCTATCACCCCCCAAACCTGGAGAAAGAGGTGTTTCCGACCCCTCCAGCAGGTACTGGCCTCCCCCCAGACCTTCACAACGAGCCATTAGTGGGTTTGAGAGGGTGGGGCCCATCTTGCCTGCCCCCATCCTTAGATGGGACCTCAAAGACAAGGCCCAGGGTCCCTGTCTCTCAAGTGAGCCCCAAGGATGAGGCCTGTGTCCCCCCTTTCCCCAAATGAGTCCCCAGAGATAAGACTTGTCACCTGTCCTGTAAATGGATCCCCTGAAGTAGGGCCAATGTCTCCTGTCCCCCCAAATGGGTCACCAAAGGCAATACCTATGTCCCCATTCCCTAGATGGGTCCCCCAAAACAATGCTGTCTCATCCCCCAAAGGTGTCCCCAAAGGCAAGGGCCAAGTCCCCCTTTCCCAGTTGGGCCCCCTGCTGTGGACCCTGCTTCCCTGGGGGGCGGTGGCCGGGAGCTGCTCTCAGGCCCCCCCTGGCCTGCAGGTTTCCAGATGGCCCCCTGCGGGTGCTTCTTCGACCCCCGTATCTACCGAATCGAGTGGGTCACCACCGACTTTGGCCAGTCATCCCTGTACAAGCTGGTGGTGGCAGGCAGTGGGGGACCAGCAGGGGCGCCGGCGGGGGGCCCTGGCTCACCAGGCAGCTACCTCCCGGAGCCCCAGCACTACCTCACGGCCCCAGCGGCACCCCTGCCATCGCCGGCGTATCCCCACTACCAGCCGGTGCCGGGGGGACCCCAGTACCTCGTGCCCTACTTCCCACTTGAGGGGTCTGCGCCCGAGGCCCTGAGCTTTGTGGGGGATGGGGGGACCCCCGCCTTCATGGAGCTGCCCCCGCCCCTGCTCAAGGAGGGCCTGGCCCCCCCACCACCACCACCACCCCCCAAGGAGAACAAGCTGCTCCCGCTTCTCATCACGCTTCCTGCCGAGCCCGCACTGTCCGCTGGTACCTACGGCCACCTCAAAGGCCACCTCAGCCAGTTCCCTGGGTCCGAGGTGGCTGCGAGGCCCATCGAGCCCCCGGCCTTCCCCACCAAGGAGCTAAAGGGCGGCATGGCTGGGCCAGGCTCGCTGTACCCACTGGGCCCCGGCGAGGCCAAGGTGGCCGAGGCCGAGGAGGTGGCCCCTCCAGGGGCAGGTGAAGCCAAGGCCCCCGAGGTGGCTAGAGCCTTCGTGCTGCCAGACAAGGTGCTGCTGGAGGACGCTATGAAGCTGTTCGATTGCCTGCTGGGTAGCGCCGAACCTGAGGAGTCCCAGCTCAAGGCCCCTGGGTCAGCCCTGCCCAACAGTGGTGGTGGTGGCACTGGCAACGACTCGACCAGCGACATCCGCTTGCTGCACCTGCCCGACGAGCTGCTGTCCTTCGACTACAATGTGCCCGAGATCCTGGAGACCGTGTCCAACATGGACTACTTTTTCAACTTCAAGGCCCTGGATGAGGAGCCGCCACCCCACCTGGGGTCCCCTGTCGTGGACACCGTGGTCCCCGTCCTGCGCTCTGATCCACCCTGCAGGAAGAAGGCTGGCGCCTCATCCTCCAAGAAGGGGAAGGCGGGAGGCAAGGGCAAGCAGGCCACAGGCCCGGCCAGCACTGTCGCCTCACGGTCGAGGCAGGACCCGGGAGCTGCTCCCCATTAAAACAGATTTGATCTCTGAGCTCAGTGTTACTTCAGCGGCTTATGGCCTAGGGACAGTGGGCTGGGTGTGGACACCTATCCCCTCGCCATGTCGGCCAGTGGACAGGCAAGGCTGTGCCCTGGGCCATGTGGGAGGCTTCCAGAGCCGAGTGGGGGAGTCCTGGAATCACAAGAGATTCTAAACCCCTTGCTCCCCGGAAAATCAGAGTCGGTGGCAGGGCTGGGGGGCTTTCGGGAAGGTGGGGAGCTGCCACCCAGACTCCTGCATTGTAAGGATTTTACCCCTGCGTTTGGTGGGGAAAATTAAGGCTGCCCAGAGAGGGGCAGGAACTTGCCTGGAGACACACAGCAAGCAGGGCAGGTCCTGGGGAGTGGCTCTCAGCTCCCGAGGACACCGCTCTGGGAGGGGACCCTCCTGGCCTGCTCCTCCTCCTGCCCCGGCCCTGGGCTGAGTCTCCTGGGCTTTCATTTCTGGGCCCTTAGGGGAGGCCTGCCTGGAATCGAGGAGGCAGATGGGGAGTTTGCAGGGCGAAGTCATAGCTGAGGCCACTGGTGGCTCCTCTGCCGGGCACCATGCCACCTGCCATATATGGCTCCCCTTCTTGAAACTCTTCAAACCCTTATTCAAAAGCTCAGGGATGTGGAGACAGCATCTCCAGGCCCCGCAGCTGCTGCCACTTGAACATAAATGCAGAGAGAGGGTCCCTGAGCAGAGGTCAGCCAGGTCATTCTCTTTTTGGCAGTTGGCCAGTACAGTGATCCAAACCCTTGAGCTTGGTGTTATAACACTGCACTCACCACTGAGCTAACTGGCCAGCCTATATACATATTTTTAATGTATCTAATGTGTATATACCTACTATCTACATATGTATATGCTGTCTATACACATGTTGATGTTATCTAAATATATACATGTGTACATTTGCATTATTTATATACACAAGCATGTCTGTATACATGTGTGTAGATAATGTATACATTCTATACTTGCGTGGATATATCTACATGCACATACGTGTATACATATGTAGGCATATGTAATAAACATTATTATATACACATGTATAAACGTGTACATGTAAAATCTATACTTCCAGACTTTTATTCATGTGCATGTGTGTGTTCATATGTATATATGTTTTGGTTTTTAAAAACCGGCACGGAGGGCTGGACGGTTAGTTCTATTGATTACAGTGTGGTGCTGTAACACCAAGGTTAAGGGTTCAATCCCTGCACCAGCCAGCTGCCAGGGGGGAATAAAAATCTACAGGAAGAATGAACAATTTCAAGTCAGAAGAAGAGAGAATTTTTTTTTAAAAAAGATGACTGGTAAGGGGATCTTAACCCTTGACTTGGTGTTGTCAGCACCACGCTCAGCCAGTGAGCAAACCGGCCATCCCTATATGGGATCCGAACCCGGGGCCTTGGGCCTTGGTGTTATCAGCACCACACTCTCCCGAGTGAGCCATGGGCCGGCCCGGAAGAAGAGAGAATTTGACAGTCAAATGTGTTCTGTCCCGCGGCAGCGCTCCCACCGAGGGTTCGGATCCCACATACAGACCGGTTCCTGCTCACTGGCTGAGCGAGGTGCGGGAGCAACACCGAGGGTTGCGATCCCGTTGCCGGTCACGAAAAAAGACAAAAAAAAAAAAAAAAGGAAAATGTGTTCTGTCCCATTGGATAAATGTTAAAGGGACAGTGGGAGACCAAACAAAGTGACTTTTGATTACTCCTCACTCAAGTTGAGCTTGTCCCACTTAACAAGGATCAGAGGCAAAGTGAGACTACCTCTTGGAGCAAGTCAGGCAGCTGGACTAGTGTCAGGCCCTTACCCAGCTGGCAGGAGTGAAACCAGCACTTCTCAGGCTCTGTTGGCCAGAGGGGGTGTCCAGCAAGGAGCTGGTGGGGGAAGGCAGGACACTGGAGTCGGGGCTTGGGGAGGAGACGGAGGCTCACTCACAGGGCTGGGTGGGAGGGTGATTTGCACAACCTTAGAGGAAATATAGTCAACTTCATCATTCGTGCATTCTGTACTTGCCAATTTGCCTGCTTGCTAAAATTTCTCTGTAACACACAAATCAATACTCATGGGGATTTCTCGGGAATTCACGCATGTGCGGAGTGGTGACAGATGCAAGTCACTGATGCACACATTCCCAGCTGGCCATGCTCCGCGTTCTTGTTTAAGCTGTGGGACTGTGAACAGGTACCTCGGTCACGGCCAGTGGTGAGCTGTGTTTTCCACAATTTTGTGCTTTTTGTTGCTAATTTTTTTTTTTTTCTTAAAAGATGACTGGTAAGGGGATCTTAACCCTTGACTTGGTGTTGTCAGCACCACGCTCACCTAGTGAGCTAACCGGCCATCCCTATATAGCAATCCGAACCTGTGGCCTTGGTGTTATCAGCACCGCACTCTCCCGAGTGAGCCACGGGCCGGCCCTTTGTTGTTGGTAATTTCGCTGTTGGAAGTGCCCCCAAGTGCAGTGCTGAAGTGCTGTCTAGTGTTCCTAGCGCGAGAAGGCTGTGATGTGCCTCGTGGAGAAAATGTGTGTGCCGCAGAGGCTTCATTCAGGCGCAAGTGTGAGCGCCGTTGGCCGTGAGTTCACGTTAGTGGTTCAAAAATGTGTATTAAAACAGGTGTCTTTACACAGAAATGCACATAACACAAGCTTATGTGTTGATCATTTGATGAAGATATTGTGACCAGAGGCTTGCAGGAACCTAACCTGGTATTTCCCCTAGGAGCACAGGTTCAGTATTTGCTCATTTGGTGTTTGCAGTGACTTTATAGACCAGAACTAGCATGAATAGTGAGACTTGACTGTCTCCACCTCATTCTGTTGTCCAGGGTGACAGAGGCAAGGGGCTGGCTGGGGTAAGCAGCTCACAAACTGCAGTTTTAAAATGTAGTTAGGATTTGTTGTTTTGCTTTGTTTTGGCAGCTGGCTGGTACAGAGATTGAACCCTGGAGGGGTTTGTTTTGTTTTAATCAGGCCTGGTGAGACGATGATTTGGAGACAACTGCCTTTGAAAGGGGAGTTTATTACTCACAGTTCCCAAGAAGGGGGGTGGCGTGCCATGCCATGCCACACCACTAGCCACATGGAGAAGCACCAGGGCCTGTGAGGAGGTGGTGGGAGTGAGGGGAAAACAGGGACAGGAGCCTTTACTGTGGTTTTTGCCAGAAAGGCAAGGCAAGGCAGGGTAAGCCAACTTTAGAGTGACTAGTTTGAATACCAAGGTGGGCTCTGGGCTCTAGGGGCTATCTGTCCCTGGCCATTGGGTACCTGGGGAGTATCAAAGGTACACTTAGGGCCGACCTGTGGCTCACTTGGGAGAGCGTGGTGCTGACAACACCAAGTCAAGGGTTAAGATTCCCTTACTGGTCAGCTTTAAAAAAAAAAAAAGGTACACTTGCCTGGGGGGAGCCATTTGCTGTCTTTAAGAAATAGCTCCCAAGGCCCCAAGATGTCAAAGCATCATGAAACGTAAGGGGGAAACACCATGGTGAGTACACACTGCTTTCTGCTTTGTACGAAAAAAAAAAAAGGTACACTTGCCTGGGGGGAGCCATTTGCTGTCTTTAAGAAATAGCTCCCCCAAGGCCCCAAGATGTCAAAGCATCATGAAACGTAAGGGGGAAACACCATGGTGAGTACACACTGCTTTCTGCTTTGTACGGAACACTTTATCTGAAGACAATGGTCCAGACCCCACTGCTGGGCCTCAGTGGTCAGCTCTGCCTCTGTGAGGCACCTGCGGGTCTCCCGGGGTTCTCAGCCCCCCACGCCATGGGTGTTCAGCTCCTGCCCCGGTGGCACCTGCACAGCTCTTTGCAGCCCCAGCACAGGTCACTCCAGAACGTCTTGATCCTGCGGCCCCGCTCCGTGCGCAGAAAGTTGGGGATTGTGTAGGCCAGCCACACGGACAGCAGGATGCTTGTCACCAGCAGGAAGATGGTGAACTGGGGAGGGACAATGGGCAGCGGGTAGGCCCCATAGACGTAGATGCTGAAGACAGTCGACAGGTGACAGTAGCTGCAAGCAGGCGGGCAGAGGATGCTGGGCATCACCTTCAGCAGCCCCAACCTGCCCTGCACAGCAAACGTGTTCAGAACCACAGGGAGGACAGCTGGCCAGGGGGCAGTGACCAGAGGCAGCATGTCCCATTTACATCTGCTTCAACTTCAGCAAAATCGGTTCTCAGTCTGCTGTCCTTTCTGTGCAGCTGTCACAAGGGTCCCCTGCCCCCCATGCCCAGACTCAGTCTAGAGAGGACAGAAGGGGCAGTGGGGTGGGACATGACAAGGGGCCATGGGCGTCCGTGACATGGCAGCAAATGACAGGGAGAAAGGATGTTCCAGAAAGACAGCTCCCCCCAGTGGGGGACAGAATGTGGGACTCATCCCCTCTGTCCCCTGGATAGCCCCACCGCAGGGTCTGTGGCCCTCCCAGAGCCGTTCCCTTGGTCCAGGGTCTGGGGCCTCCAGGGAAGGCAGGGCCTCCGCATGCTTTTGGGGGATGGACTTTTATCCGCTGCAGGGATGAGGACATGGGAAGGGATGCCACCCCTGAGCCCCCTCCCTGCAGATCAACGGGACTTCTGCACATGGCTTCAGGATCCTCCCAGCGCCCGCAGGCAGTAAGCACTTAACAAGCAGCCCTCGGAGCAGAGAGGCCCCATGTGCTGCCTTTGCCGATTCCCAGGGTGTAAAGACTCCCGTGGCTGACTCAGCCGATGGGAACTCAGCTGGCTGGCAAATTTGCTGAGTATCTCCGAGGGAGCTCTCTGGGCCAGTGAGAGCCAGCTCCCAGCACACCCTCCACCAGAGCTGGCAGGAGAGGGTGACTCCGGTCCAGGAGGGTGGGGACCTGGTTGCTGGTCTCTGTGGTTCCCCAGCACCCAGTGTGGACTCTGAAATAAGCGTTCATTTAACGAGCGGACAGATGCCACCCGAAACTTAAGATGTCACTCTTCCCGGGGACAGTCTGGGCTGTTGGAGGAACTTGGCTTTAGGGAGAAAAGTGTGTCCCCTGCACACGTGCGACCTGCCCCCAGGGGAGCCCCAGGTGCCCCTGCTGACCTGTAATACGGATCCACGATGGAAAGGAAGAAGATGTAGATTCCGTTCCTTTGTTTGAAAATGATCTGGTTTGCTGTTGGGCCACCCAAGATCTGATACTCGACATTGGGCCACTGCAGGGGAGCGTTGCTGTTGGGATCGTGGCAGCTCACGTAGTTCTGGGGAGGGGGACACAGGCGTGCCCTTAGGCTCTGGGGGCTGCGGAGGGGGCCCAGGTCCTGCAACCTTCCCTGCCGAGGCTCTGCACCCATGCGCAGCCCACCTGGCCCACCTGGAGGCCCAGGGCCGAGGGTGCACGGGGTGGGCATGTCTGTGATTCCTGCGGGGGAGACTATGGAGGGCTGCCCACTTCCATCCCACCCCCCTCCTTCCGGGCCTTCCTGGGTGTCGGAGGCCAAGGCTTAATAACGCTGCTTGCCAGACTCGGGTTGAACTGTGTCCCCCCAAAATCCCATGTTCAACTCCTAACCCCCTGGACCTCAGAAGATGAGCCTTATTGGGAAATAGGATCTTTACAAAAGTAATCAAGTTAAGATGATGTCATTGGGGTGGGCCCTAAGCTATGACAGGTGTCTTTATAAAAGAGGAAATGGGACACAGACATGCACACGGGGAGAACACTGTGTGAAGATGGAGGCAGTTGTGGGGCAATGCTTCTACAAGCCGGGGAGTACTGGGATTGTCAACAGCCACCAGAGGCTGGGGACAGGCCTGGGGTGGATTCTCCCTTGGAGAACACTGTGTGAAGATGGAGGCAGTTGTGGGGCAATGCTTCTACAAGCCGGGGAGTACCGGGATTGTCAACAGCCACCAGAGGCTGGGGACAGGCCTGGGGTGGATTCTCCCTCAGTCTCAGAAAGAACCAGCCCTGCCCTGCCTTGATCTTGGACTTCTAGCCTCCAGAACCGTGAGAAGAAACACTTCCGGTGTTAAGCCACCCAGTGTGGAACCCCTGGTGGACTTGCATGCCTGGAAAAACTGGAGATGGAGGGGAGCCACCTTCCTGGGGCTTTTCACCAGTGCTGTGGCCAAGCAAAGTCCTGGGTGTCCAGAGGCAATCGGTGGGTGGCAGCTGGCCCACCATGTCTTCAGATCCCAGGATTTCATTTAAAGGGGGAATGATGTCCTTGACCTCAACAGTCCTGGGTGGCCTTCCAAATCCCCGCCTTCTCGCTCTTGGTGGAGGTGGTCAGTGTGAGCCAGCTCCCAACACACCCTCCACCAGAGCTGGCAGGGTCACTCCTGCCGGCTCCTCTGGCCCATCCAGCTATGACTTCACGAGCTCATCATCACAGTAATAACAGGCAGACTGTCTGAACCAACTTCCTCCCCAATTGACAGGTGAAGAGAGCGGGGCTCAAAAGAGGCAAAGGGATTTTCCTCTGGCCCTGCACAGAGGTGGCCGAGTCCAGGCCAGAATGCATGCTGTCTGCCCTTAACCACGACATCCTGTGCCACCTCTAGACCTACACTTCGGCCTTCTGTGCTATCTGCCCATGGGCCCAGAAAGGAGGGGGCTGGACTTTTAAACAAGAAAGAAAGGGCTGGCTGGTGAGCTCAGTTGGTTAGAGCATGGTGCTGATAACACCAAGGTCCAGGATTCAGATCCCTGTATCGTCCAGCTGCCAAAAGAGAAAGAGAGAAGGAAAATCTAAAAGCAACAAAGTAAAAAGAAGAATGATCCAACAATATAGAAATAAGGAACTTATTTTGCATGGCATAAGCAAAAACTGAAAGAGAGACGAAGTGGGGGACATATTTGCAAATTATATTGCAAATAAAGGGTCCATCTTGCAGATCTATCGGGAGCTCTTGAACACTGAGAAATCCAAAATCCCAATGGAAAAAATGGGCACAGACTGTGAACACACACAATCCGTACAACAAAGAAGTGGAAACGGCCCTCGGACACCCAAAGACGCTAAACCTGGTCCACACTAGAAGAACTGCACATGAACACGACACTGAATGGTCATTGCTCCTGTCAGATAGTACACCTGGCTAGTGAGGCTGTGCAGAGACAGGCAGTCAGACACTGTGGTGGGCAGCAGGGTACGACCCCTGGGGGGTGGGTTTGGGGGGCATGTAACAGAATCGCAAATGCATTTTGCCTTTGACCAAGCAATCTTTTTTCTAGAAATTTCCCTGAAGACACAGCTCCACAGTGGTAAGGAATTCATGCAGCATGGATAGACAGGAAAGACTGGAAATGATCCGGTGTCCATTAGGAGGGGAGTGGTTGAAAAATCTTGGCGCACCCACACTGTGGAGGCAACTGAGAAGGAGGGAGCTCTCCATGCCTCCCTCTCTGTGCAGGAACAGAAATTCCCATGCAGAGGTGGAGCGGGAAGGGCCAGATGACCTGCCTGTGACCAATGGAACAAGGCAGAGGGGATGCACTCAAAGTTCTGGGCCCAGGACCTTGGAGGTGTGGAAGCTCTGCTCTCTCGGAACCCAGTGGCCATGCTGTAAGGGAGCCCAAGCTTTCCTGCTGGGGCGGGAGAGACCTTGTGGAGAAGCAAGGTGTCCTGGCTAACAGAAGCCCCAGACACGGGAGAGGCTTTCCTTTCCTGGAGCTCCCAGCTAAATGCTCCTGCATGGGTGGCCCTGGCCAGTGCCACAAAGAGCACATGAGAAACCATGAATCCCACTGAGTTTGAGGGTGTTTGTTTCCTAGTGCTGGGTAACACAAACAACTCTCCACTGTACTATTCTTCCGGCTTCTCTGGAGGTTTGAAAGTTCTCCCAATTAAAAAACAAAACTAAAAACCAACCAAACAAACAAAAACAAAAAACACTGGAGCAGTGTCCACGAGGTGAATGGCCACCCAGACACATGTTGCTCCTTCCCAAGCACCCTCCCCCACCCCTTCCCTGGGCTGAGGGAATGGAGTGAGAACAGACACCATTTCTCCACAGGACTCAGACTCCTCAGTACAAGGACAAGGACAATAGTCACTCTTGCTTGTTGACAAAATTCATGTATTGAAGCCCTAATCCCCACTGGGATGGTATTCGAGATGGGCCTTTTGGAGTAATCTGAGTTAGATGAGGTCACGAGTATAGGGCCCCTACGATGGGATTAGTGTCTTCACAAGAAGAGGAAGGCAGACCAGGGCTAGGTCACTCTGCCATGTGAGGACACAGTGAGAAGGCTGCCGTCTGCAAGCCAGGAAGAGAGCCCTCCCCAGACACCCACCCTGCCAACCCTGATCTCGGACTTGCAGCCTCCAGAATCATGAGTCTGTTGTTTAAGCCTCCCTGTCTATGGTATTTTGTTAGGGCAGCCTGAGCTAAGACACCCCGAGACTCTGCCTCAATCCTTGTTTCCGTCCTTGTGTTCGAACTCGCAGTCCCTTCTGATCCCATCATTGCCCTGCAGATCCAGCCTCTTCCTTCCCACTAAGCTCCAGCCATGCTGGGTCCTGCACATGCCGCATTCCCAGTGCCTGGGGGGCTGTTCAGTCTGCCACCTCCCTCAAGGATGCCTTCCCTGACCACCCAGCCTAGCTCAGAGGGTCTCGTATGACTGCTAGCACCATGTGCCTCCCCTCTTGGGCACATACACAGTTAGATGATTTTAAAACACTTGAAGTGTTGGCGAGTTTGGGGAGAGACTGGAACGCTTGTGCCTTGCTGGAGGGATATAAAATGGTGCAACTTCCTTGGAAAATAGCCTGGAGCTTCCTCAAAAAGTTAGACATGGAGTTACCATATGACTCAGCAGTTCCACTTCTGGGTACATGCCCCAAAGAATCAGAAGCAGGAACATGAAGAGACGTGTGTTACACCCATGTCGAGAGCAGCGTTATTCAAAATAGCCAAAAGGTGGAAGAGACCCAAGTATCTACTGACATGAGTGTATAAACACAGTGCGGTCCATTCACACAATGGGTATCTTTCGGCTTTAAAAAACGAGTGAGGGGCCGCCCAGTGTTGCACTGCTACAGTGCGCCGCTTGGGAGCATGGCGGCGCTCCCGCCGAGGGTTCGGATCCCACATACAGACCAGCCGCTCACTGGCTGAGCGAGGTGCGGGTGCAACACCGAGGGTTGCGATCCCGTTGCCGGTCCCGGTCCGGTACTGGCACAACACTGAGGGTTGTGATCCGTTGCCGGTCACGAAAAAAGACAAAAAGGAAAAAAAAAACAAAAAAACAAAAAGAAAAACGAGTGAATCACTGACACGCTACAGTGTGGATGGACCCTGAGGACACTGTGCTCAGTGAAATAAGCCAGTCACACAAGGACGAACAGTGTGATTCCACTTGTAGGAGGTCCCTACAGTCATCTGATTCACAGAGACATAAAGTGGAATGGGGGGTGCCAGGGGCTGGGGAGGGGGATGGGGAGTGAGTGTCTAATGGGGACAGAGTTTCAGTTTGGGAAGATGAGAAAGTTCTGGAGAGGGATGGCAGTGATGGTTGCACAATGTGAATGGGCTTAACGCCGCTGAACTGGACACTTAAAAGTAGATAAAATGGTGGATTTTATGCAATTTAAATTTTTTATCCTTTGCAGGGCGGGACCCAAAAACCCGGAACGCAATAAGATCCTGTGAAATAAAAAAGGAGACCACGCTTAGCCTCAAGACTCTTTTACGTGGGTGTTTTTAGCGCCACCTGGTGGTTTTAAGCCGCCGCGTAACGTTCCGTCCAATGACTGCTGTAAATGCAGGCACCGTGCGTGGCTTTAACCTGATAGAAAAAGCTCACGTTCTACAAAATCACTCCCCAGGGCCGAAAAAAAAAAAAAAAAAAAAAAAAAAACAGCAATCGCATATGTGTGGCTTTCTCTTTTCAAAAATGATCCAAGCGGTGGCGGCTGCCCAGCATTGCTGACTGATTGGCTGATTGACCGGCGCTGGCCGGTACCGGGAAGCACAGCCTTGTGAGTGTGCTGAGCGCTACTGGGTTACCCACTTTAAAATGGTTAGTTGTTGGTAGAGCGCCGTGAGGATAACACCAAGGTCGGGGGTTCGGGTCACCGTGCCCGCCACTCGCAAAAAAAAAAAAAAAAAAAAAAAAAAGTTAATCGTACGGCATGTGAATTCCTCCCTGGCTTTGGGAAAAATAAAAAATTTTTAAAAAGTAAAACCAGAAGAAAAAAATAAAGAAAAAAAGACAAATAAGAATAATAATAAAAACAAGAGGAAAAGAAAAGAAAAAGAAAAAAGAAAAGTAAAACCGGTAGCAACGACCATAACCCAATGAGCGCCGCGGGCAGGCGGAGGCCGCGGGGCTGGGCCGTGCACCGCGGAGGGGCGAGCCCGGGCGTCAGGAGCGGGCGGCGCGCGCCATCTGCTGGCGGCGCTGCGGCGCTGCGCCCGCGCCCGTGGCCTTGACC